CAACTTTGCAGCTGAGGTATCCCTCTGGAATCTCAGCTATGGGAGTGGGGCCAGGTTTTTTTTGCATCTCTTCCCTTCTTACCAGTCTCTATGTGGCTTCTTTGGTATAAGACTTCTCTTCAGCTAGCCTTCAGCTGGTTATTCAGGTCCTAGGAGGAGGTGAGTGTAACATCCACCTACTCTGCTGCCATCTTGGATCCACCTTCCAATTAAATTTTTATTATGGAAAGGTTGTGTCAGGGTAGATGTTAATAGAAAAGTGCATTGCTAGAACTTTGGATATTTCCAAATTGTAAAACTCAGCATGTCGTGTTATCAAAGCCATCACGTTATTTGTAACATACTAATTAAAAGAGAAAACAAAATAGTAGCACTTAGGTTAATAAAACAATTGCTTATGAAAAGTGCATTAAGGTTGCTGAATGTCAAGTCCCTTAAATGAAAATTTATTACAGAATAAAAGTAAATACCATTAATAAAATATTAACTTGATCCAAGTTCAGACAACAATGAATATTTTTGTATGTTTACTTGTTATAGCATAGAAAATGTTGTTTATGTTCAATATGAATATATTTGGGAGGGGGCTTTTGGTAACATATGTTATTGTTTCATAAATAGGTGTTCTGAGACTAATTTCAATGCGTGTGTGTCGGAGTGTTCTTCACACTAACAAGCAATTATTTTTCAGACACCAGTAAAGTGTCTGAGAATTCAACTCAATTCTAACACTGTCTACAGGGATGTAGCATCACTTCCCACAGGTTAAGGGCTCAGTTCTACAAGACTGCTTCCTTTCACTTCAGACACCAGTGGCGAGTCCAGGTTGTTAGTGCTTCTGACTGACTGGCTATAAATCAGAGGTTCCCACAACTCCCTCCCCAGGTACGATTAATTTGCTTGAGTAGTTCGCAGAACTCAGAGAAACATTTTACTTACTAGATCACCAATTTAATATAAAAGGAACAGCAAGATGGAAGAGATGCACAGGGCAAGGTATAGTGAGAGTGATGCCAGGCAGCATCTGGGGAGGGCAAGGGACTCCTCAGTGCAGTCCAGGTTCTTGTCACAGAACAAGAAAGAATTCAAGAGCGTGACAGAAAGACTCAGCAAAGCACAGGAAATTTGTTAAGGTGATAGTGCGCACTTGAGAAGTAAGAGCCGGCAAACTTGGAGAACCAGATGTACCAATGGGGTCTGTCTTATTCAATGTGGGCAAGTAGGACGCGGGTAGGGTGGTCCTGGGCTTCTGATGCTGGTGGGGTGACTGCCAATACAGCTCCTCTCCAAATAGCATTTTTTTTTTGTTCTCTCAGTTGCAGGAAATTGGGGAGGGTGAAGTGGGCGAACAGGTGGTCAGTGAAGGTCACATCTGTGATGTTCCAGCCAAGACAGAGAAGGGGAGGGGTAGAGCTTGAGGCCTTTGTTCCCTATTCTGACTTTTCTGCTTCAAAAGGGCGCAAAGCTTCTATGCTCTCTTCTGGGGCACCTCTGTAACCAGATCTGCAAGTCTTCACCAACCCAAAGCTCTCCCAACCCAGTCCTTTGGTTTTGTTTTGTTTGTTTTTTGTTAATCCTCACCCAAGGATATTTTCCCATTGATTTTTAGATGAGTGGAAGGGAGGGAGGGAGAGAGAGGGCTTTCCAAAAACCGCCTCATTAACATAACAAAAGAAACCGGGTCTCACCACAGAAGATTCCAGGGGTTTCAGTGAGCCAGGAATCACGGAGGAAGGCCAAATATGTATGAGAAATATATTTCGGTCATGACCAAAATATGTATTTGTTATAGATGACAATATCACACCTCAAATATATTTTAAGTTTTAAAATGATCAATTTTAAGTAGTGACCATTAGCAAAAACAAAGACTAGGAAGCCCGTAGACTTTCCTTTTTTGGGGAGACTTGACAAAATTACATTGACCAACTGCCTTTGTAAGAAATCCAGAAACAGATCAGAGGTTCAGGCATCAGATAAAACAATTGTTCCAAGAATAAAGGAGTCACATTGTAGTCTCTTTCCAGCCTTCTGATGGGACTCTGTTCCACTGTGCCTGATGGTTCTTTTCCAATCCAGACTGCAGTTAGGAGCCTCTGTGTACCGCTGTGGTAGGACACATAGTTCTCTGGCAAGTTTTACCAAGAAAAAAATCTAAAGCCTTATTTGACACATGCTAACATTTTGACTTGATTTATAATGCTTTCTCAGACACGGTCTGGCCCCAAATATGCATATGCCAAACCCTAAGCACCAGCAGTTGTTTTTATCTTAATCGGTGGAAAATATAACCACAAATGCACACACAGGGAGAAGTGTATGAATCAGCAGGATAGTAATGTACAAAATTAGGTCTCTACTCATTCCTGATTCTTCCCATTCAAACTTGTTTTTTTCCTGACATTAAGCACCGCTCTGGTGAGAAGGGAGAAAAGAAGCACAAGTCAGTAGGTCTTAGTGATCAACCCTTTCCTGCCACCGATGGGTCATGTACATCTGGCCAGTTGTAACTGTCTGCTCCTCTGTGCAAAGTGAGCTGTAGTAACATAATGATTACAATAACAAGTGAATGTGTAACTCTAGGGGCTTTCAATTTACAGGCATTGTCTTAGACCTGGGTTTTTATGGAGGCTTGATGCTCCACTTATCCTTGGTTGATACTCTACTGTCCTTGTGCAGATGAGGAAACTCAGAATCAGGGGTGATAAGCAGCTTGCTCAGGAGCATGCAGCCAGCTGGGGTGGAACTGGAGCAGACACTGAGCCTGGCTGCCTGGTCCCTCTGTGTAGTCAGAATGCAGGGATCTAAGGCTAGTAAGCAACTGAGGACTCGCTAAGTGCTAGGCCCTCATTAGGGGGTTGTCACACATTATATCACAGTGGCTTTTTAGTTATTATTATCTTTTTTTTTTTTTTTTTTTAAGAAAAAGAAATGAAAGACCAGAGTAGCTAAGTCGCTTAATCAGAACCACAGGGAAAGCTGAATTTCTATCTGGGCTTCTCTGCTTATAGTGTCCACGCTCTTCCCTGTGCTTCACTCTGTCCATGCAGCTCCCCCCCTCCGTGGCCACCAGGCAGGGACAGAAGTTGCAGTGGTCTGAAATGCTCGGGTCTTCTTCTCAGTGCCAGCCTCCAACTCGCTCTGTGACCAGAGCCCACTGACATGGCAAAGCCATGATTCATGGCTGCTATGATAATTTACACTTTGTCCCGAAGAAGTTAACATTGGCATGAAAGGTTCAGTTATTTTTTATTTTTGATATGTGTACTGAACCTTTTAATTTTTTTCTCTAATTTGTTTTATGGGAGCAATTAAATATAACTTTTTAATAGGAGGACAACTGTTTCTGATCCAGAGAGCCTGAGACCCTGTTCCTTAGTGTGGAGTCAATTTCGGTAATGAGTTTAGAGCTTTGGCAACCAGAATGCCAAGCCCAGTTCTCTTTCCTACTCACTGTGGCACTTTGGACATACTGCTTAACTCCCAAGGTTTAGTCTCTTTGTCTGTTAAACAGGCACAATGACATTTCCCTCCAGGATTACTGTGATTTGATCAGATAACAAATGGCATATAGTACAAGTTCAACAAAATGTAATCCCCTTGAATAGTTAACAGAAATTGTTAATTTATATCTGCTTTTCCTTAACGTATTGGGTGTAGGCCTAGGAATACAGAGCAAACACTAGAAAATGACCCCTCTGTCCACTGCTGCTTTTCTGGAGGCCTCCGGTTTTTGCTCCTGCTGACAGGGGTCAGGGAGGACGTGTACCGTTATCTGGGGACAGTAAGTCCCAGCGTGAGAGCAGTAAACTCAGCGCCAGAAAAACGAAGTCCAGTTCTCAGCATTTTACTAACTCTATGACCTCTTCAAGTCGGTAAGTCTCTGTTCTTGTTTACTCATCTGTAAAATCAGAAAAGCAAAAATATCTCTTCTGCTTTGTTTGTTATACAGGAGGATGCTCTTGCCATTTTCCCCTTATTCCATTCATTCCATAGCAAGGCTGCTGCTGCTTAAAAGCTTATGTTTCTTCTCATTTGTAATCACCAGGAGGTATTTGAGGACTCTAGTATTTCCACTCCTATAAAATCTAGCACATTTTCAGTCAAATATCTTGATATTTATTTTAAAGAGATTTTGTCCCCCATGACACCATGTGATACACTTATCCACCTCTATTATTTAAATATTTTAATATTCTATTCAAGAAATAGCAGTATCTATGGATCAGTCATGAGAAGAGTGATTTTAATGTAGTCCTTAATCTTCTGAACTCAACTTTTCTCCTTCCGATCATTTGAATTACAACTGCATATATTGTTTAGGTGGGGTGTGACTATGTGTGTTTGTGGTTTCCCTTCTTCAGTATCCCATCATTTGGGAATTGTTATTAAAGAATTTGATTGTAGAATGCAACTGTGAATTCACAGCATAATGCATCCATCAAAATAAGTATATGCACAGCATTTAATTTGTAGATTTGTACTCCCCATGCACTAAAATAAGAAATGTTAATTTCTTGCCGACTATTACCAGATGATTTAAAATTTCTGCTGAACAGGAATGTCTGTTTCCATGTGAGAAATCCTCATCATAAAATCCTGGCACCATTGCTAAAGAGGGTAGTTTTATACAAACAGAGAAAAACAACAGAAAGTATTTTCCCTTAGGACAGTTTTAGCTTCAGTGTACCAATGCTGCTTAGTTATTTCTGTCTTATTTTTATGCTTTTGTTCTGAAACATAAGGCAGTTTTACCTGGATGCCCTCCCGGATATTCAGGAATTAGCTCAGTAAGTTGACTGACTCTGCCAAAAGCAAGACCTCCAGAGAATCAGAGAATCGGGAGGCTCTGCCACCTCGCTCCTTCCCCCACCCACATCTCTAGAGGGGAAAAAGGGGTTAAGGATTACTGGAGAACAGAGGAGAGGGGAGGGAGCCCCGAGGAGGCCCAGGAGCAGCAGGCCATGCCTCCAGGTCCAGCTTTCATCAGCGGGCGCGGTGGCGCTCTGAGCGCTGCTGTGAATTTGGAGGAGGGATGCTGCTGTCAATTTGTGGGACCGCTGCTGCGAGGAGTGGGCGTGGCCTCGGCGGTGTGGATGCTTGTTAGGAAAGATGCTGGGTGCTTTTTAGTGAGGACTCAGGGCTGTGGTTCGTGTGTGCATGTGTGTGTGCGCGCGTGCGCGCGTGCGAGAGAGAGAGAGAGAGAGAGAGAGAGAGAGAGAGAGAGAGAGAGAGGATTGGAGAAAGGAGGGAAGGAGGGGGAGTGAGGCTGAGAGACCCAGAGGTGCTGAAGACAGAGCTGGGAGAGGAACTGAGAACTGGACTAGAGCTCTGGGAGAGCCACTCAAGATCTTTTTGGGGGAGCCCAATAAATGTGAACATGGGGTCTGTCACCGGAGCTGTCCTCACGATGCTACTTCTGTTATCTACTCAAAACTGGAACAGGGTCATAGCTGGGAATTCCTGTAAGTATACAGCAAATGATTTAAACTTGCAGGGGGGCTCTCTTCAAACTTTAATTCTCTTGCTTTTATGATTATTATTTGCAACTGTTAATTTCTGCAAAGCATATTGCTCTAAATGAAGCATCACTTAAACCTTTTGCAAATATGTCTGGGTTTACACCTGTCTTTCCTCCTGGTCTGGTCAAAATATGCAAAGTCTCATTTCTCTTTTTGTCTATGAGCAGAACCTTATCCTCTTGTCTTTGAATATTCATTGAGAAAGCTCAAGTTCTAGTAAAACATTAAATTAGCATCTTAACCAGGGAATAGCCTGCGAATGTCGTCATTTCTTCCTTTTTTTTTTTTTTAGGATTACTGAATTTTATTGGAATTATGTCTAACAAGAAAACAACTGGCAGACTTCACATTCTGCTGCACTAGCTTAGATCTCTGAAGTTTGCAATTTGGCAGACGGATAGCTAGTTGCATCTTTTAAATGATGCCAGGCTCATAACTGAAATGTACTGCAGAATTCAGGAGCAGAATTGGTGGAGGTGAACCTCAACATTAAGAACTGTGCCCTCACTGCTAAAAAGAATGAGACTTGAGCACTCCTGAAAGAGAGGGCTTGATTCTTACATTTTGCGAAAGGAAAAACATTCTGGTGATTTTTTTTTTCAAAAAGTATTATTCTTTTGTGATTGAATTTTTAACTTTATGAATCTGTGATTGAATATTCCGATTCCAAGTTCATTGACTCGAGGAAGATTTATAAAAATCTTATTTCTGATTTAAATATCATTCAAAATTCATTCAGCAGAACTCCCTATATCCACTTTTTATTAGCGATAGAAAAAGTTTTAAAAGTTATATTTGGCTTAAAATGTCTAAATGAAAGAATTTCCCCCTCTTTGATGAATGATAAACAAGCTCTGGAAATACAACTTTCCATCTCTTTCCTGGATTTAAAAAAAAAAGCTCATTTGCTTTTCAAGAAAAAGGTATGAGGCCTGTTCAGGAATTCATGTTGCTGCTGTGTAACCAGGGTTAGGTTGGGGCATAACAAACAAAGCCAGCAGTATTATGGTGTTTCTATGGCACATCCCTTGAGTACACTAAAGTGCTCTGATGTGGGAAGAACATTATGAACGACCTTCCTGGTACAAGTTGAATGTCCATTTACACTGCATGGCTACTGTGATATTGTGTTTGCGTTCAGCATTAGCTCATTTAATGGCATGGTGTATCTATGATTCTGAAAGAGGAGAAATGCACTCGGATTCTGCACTGTTTCAGATTCCATTTTAATTGGGGTCAGAAGAATCCTGTGAGTCAGTGAAATGTACATATTGTTACCTAGTCGCAATCTTGGAATGCTGTAATGGCAGCACGTGACAAAAATTGCATCCATCAAACAAACAATAACACAAGCACACACAAAGTTTTGTAGAAAAGGCATAAATAATTCATCCTCCAACTACTGAAGTTCAACAACAAAGGAAAGCACTAGAGGTCACTCTTACAATGTAATGCACATCGCTGGAAGCACCCTTCCCTTAAGAAAAGCAGAGCTTAAGTCTGGCCTGGGTGTAGTCGTATCTTTCCAATCCACCGCCCGTATTTGGGTTTAAAACATATTGATGCGATTGATTGGACTACTAGTTGTTTACATTTGTTTCTTTTCTTGGAGTCGAATAAAAGGCAGATCACATTAAATCACTTTTCTTTTGAAATATATCTTCTTAGTGTAGGAAAGATGAGTTGCAGAGGTCTGAGGAGAGCAGATATTCATGGGTGCTCAGCTCTGGCTGAGTCTGTCCCTGACACTTAAAATTTCAGTCCTGGGTCTGTATTCTGTCAGCCTTGGTTTGTTCAGGAAGCATTTCAATGCTCTTTCAAACATTTGATAAACTTAAGGAACCTATACAATTTTAAATTGTTAGGAGTATTAAATATGAAAGTTGGAGTTTGTGGTTACCATAGGTTGAGTTGACAGTTCTTAAAGTGTCAAAAATGCAATTAAATGACTTCAGATAATTAAAGTTGCATTTAATAATTTCTTGTTGCTACCACTTTGGCAGTATGATTAGCAGCAGTGTATATAAAAGAAACAATATTTTCCAATTTTTATTTTAAAATATTTAGTTGTTTTTTTTTTTAAGGAAGGAAGCAAAGTCTACTTATTACCAAGGTACTTCATATGTCTTATCCTTTTTGAAAGAACTAGCCTATATGTTTGCCAGCAAGATTGGGATTCAGTGTATGGACAAGTGACCATCAATCGGCATAAGCATTTTTTAAAGTGTTACATAGTAACTCCAATAATTATTCTGGACAAGAGTTTATAGTAAAACACGAATCAATCTTGAATACCAATACTAAAGTAGGGAAAACTAAATATAAATAAAGAAAATTAAAGGTCAGTCTTTCAGGTGAACGACAAAGGCCTTGCCCCTTTATTTACATCTAACTCACCAGGAGCAAATCTGTTGTCCACTGAGTCAGCTCAAGGCTGTAGTGTGGAAGCTTCCATGGGACAGGACCGTGTAAGCCAGACACAGCTCAGGGATTGGGTGCACTTTAATCTGAATGTGAATTGATCTAATTACTCAACCAACAGGGAAACTACATTAGAAAGATTCGGTGCAAACACACATTCATGTATATATACAGGGGTGGGAAAAAGTAGGTTTATACTTGTGACTATGCCAAACACAGAATTTATTCTTGTATTATTATTTATTGTATTCATTTCCAAATGAACAACTGTAAACCTACTTTTGCCCCATACTGTTTATGTTCATGTTATCTACGTATATAAATATGTATGAACCACCAGACCCATGTGCTCACATTTTTGGTGTTGGCTTACTCCTCATCTGTGAAAAGATAAAATATGTCAAATGGACCACATTCTTTGCCTACTAGCGCCCCACTTGACATTACAAAAGCAGAGAACCAGCCCCAAGTCTTTCCTCTTTGTTCTGGTCAAGCTGAGTTTGCTACTGTATTAAGGGGCCCCTTTCATGAAAATACAGAGACAGATTCCCGGAGAAGGGCATGGTCTTTGAGAAGTTGCACAGGCTATTGGTGTCTTCACTTGCTAAGAGACAGGCCCTGAGAAGGGAGTCATCTCTTTATTTTATAATCGTTCTTTTGAACCCACAGTTTCTTTCTGACCATTAAGATGTTGCTGGGGGTGGAGATGACTCACCGCAAAAGAAGGAACAGGTGTAAGTAGTAAGGCGACCAAGAGTTTTGCTTTCATTTTGACTCCCGCAGATGATGTGATGGAGGCTGTCTGGCCTCAGGTATACTGAGCCTTACCCTGAGAACCTTGACTGTTCTCCGTGTAGCTTATGAAGGACTTAATCAGAAGTTAACTTCTCCCTGCATTCTTTCTTGTCTCTAATTGAAATGAAGGCTGTACCTGATACCTACCCTGAAAGAAGCATTAAAGAATACATTAAAATCAGCAGTGGATAAAGGTGATTGCTTGAGCAGAAGATCTCGTTCCTGTAGACTCTGGAATGCAAACTGAATGCACCTGGACAGATTCTCAAATTATTAAAACTCAACCTTGTAATTCTTTCCAGAAGCTGCTTTTTTCCTCCTCATTCCCAAAATTGCTGTCCGGAGCAAAAAATAACTAGAGTATAATAGTGTAAAGTACCGATAAAATATAATTGTACGATGCCATGCATAAGTAGCTGGCCTTTAGACAAGAAGGAACGCTTGCACGCTGACTCACTTTTCTAACAGCAATACTGATTTTCATCAATTTGGTGCGTTCTTTGCGCTCCTGATTGCATCACCCTAAGTCAGTTTCATAGGAACAGGCTTCAGCTATGGGGTAATACAACTCATGGCTAACATGGCGGTCAAACATATGACTTTCACATGATATCTAGTGCTTACTCTAAGCAATGACCATTTTCATGTCTTCTAAAAGTAATTTTGGAATTTGTATCACATGTAAAAAATTCCTTAATGGGAGCCAATTTCTATATCAAGGTTGAATTAATTTATGTCTTGAATGAAAACAAGTTAGTAGAACATCCGTTATAAGATAATGTAATATTTAGGTCAAAGGTGGCAGATTTGGCCTATGGGGCAAATCTGATCCCCTGCCTTGTGAGCTAAGAATGTTTTTTTCATTTTTAAATGTCTGAAAAAAATTAAAAGAAAGATTCTTTTTATTTTATTTTATTTTTTTCTCTATTGATTTTAGAGAGAGAGGAAGGGAGAGGGAGAGAGAGATAGAAACATCGATGAGAGAGAACATCAATTGGCTGCCTCCTGCATGCCCCCTGCCGGGGATCTGGTCCACAACCTGGGCATGTGCCCTGACCAGGAATCGAACTGACGACCTCTTGGTGCATGGGTCGACGCTCAACCACTGAGCCACACCGGCCAAGCAAAAGGAGGATTCTTTGTGGCACAAAATAATGATATAAAATTCAAATTTCAGTTGTCCATTCTTTTCATTAGTGGACCTGTATGGTAAAAACTCATACTCAGTTATTATTATATTTCAAATTTTATCAATAAAATTTCTTAAATTTGATTTCTCTCTTGTTATGTAAGGACCTACATAATATTCTTTACTAACCAGCCCTTTATAGAAAAAGTTTGTTGACCTTTGATTTAAATAATATACAATATAGTATAATGACAAGGCATAGACAGTGTACAAATCATACGGCTATGATGAAATTTAGTCATAATTATTTAGTACACAAATACATACTCATAGAGTTCTGGTACAGAAGGTAATCACTAGTGTTGCCAGCAACTATAACACAAGAAACCTTCCAGTTAGTATATTCTTCATAAATTTCTTTCTAAAGGCTTTATTGTTCAGACATCTTGTTATTTCAGTGAGTATGAATTATTTATATCTATTTGTAAAGTTTCAGCAGTTTTGGTTGCTAAAAGGGCACTTTCAATCTCAAGTAATCCCATTAGTATAAGAAGTTCAATAAAGTATAAGTAATTGCATCTTAGATATTTTGACTAAG